GCACACTATAGTGGGGCATGCTTAAAAGTTAAATCAGTTACAATCCAAGTGGATAAAGGGAAAAAATAGCTAACGATCAAAATGTCGAGTCCTTTCCCACATGACAAAGATAAAGTCATGTCGTGGGTCTATGAAATCCCAAGCATCATCAGCTAAAGACTCATCCAACGTCGTTGAGTAACTAAGTTTACACACCTAGTGAATTGTAAGCTATTACCTCCAAAAAGAAGGAGAAGAAAAAAGGAGAGAAACCTGAGGAGGAGGATGAATTCCTCAAAAGCTTAAGGTGGAGAGAATATGAGAGATCATACATGGTCAAAAGAGCTTTCCCACCAAGATAAATTCTAATATGGAGAAGAAGCATTATGCTTGAAGGCATTGCTTGAGCTCGCTAGAATGAAAGCCCTCAAAGGACATTCTAGGCAAAAAATTAGGGTAAGAAAAAGCCCGCCAAGACAAGGGTCTTAAGCAGAAAAAAAGGGGCTAAAAAATCCTGATAGGATATGTCCTATGCAAAAGTTAGGGATACAAGAATAAGAAAGAAAAAGTAATGCATACTCGAGTTGAAAACTGAAAGGCAGCTTGAGTATTCCTTCTAAGCAAGATTTTATGAAAATTTTACTCCAAGCTTTGTTATCACTCCTGCCTACAGTTGCTTCCTAAAAAAGGCCATACAGAACATGAGTTGTACCCTTACGCTCCACCAAAAGATCAAACGTGTGGTGAAAAACAAGATGATCAACAAACCACTAATCATTTCATATGTGAATGTGGTGGAGGAAGCCTAGGAAAATACTTTTTAAGCATTAGAAATCACTAACATTGCAAGAGTCTTAAGCATCGGAAACTTGGTAACAAAGATGCTACTAAAGAAAGGATACCAGCTAGGACAAGGGCTGGGTAAAAGGTGCTCAAAGGGTAACTGGGTAACCTAACTTCCAAGACAATCCAAGGTGATAGGGCTCAGGATATGCACCAACTACATTTTCAAGGGAGAAAAGTTGAGAAATCTCCTTTTGCGTAAAATTTTCCAAAGCACTGCGCCTGGGTCTATGGCCAACCTGTGGCACATGAAGTCGGGGTCTACTCCTGGCATGTCTTTGGCGTGCCACGCGAATGCCGACAAGTTCGATTTCAATACCTCTATCAGTTTCCCTGCGTAATTCATGTTAAAAGATTTTCCATTAAATTAAGCAACAATATATAATATGATATTTTGAGATGATGATGCATCAAACACTACTTGTATGAAAATAATTTAAGGTACTTGTCAATGAAATATTGTTTGTGGAGATTTTTGTTTGTAGGTCCTTTTTATTCAAAATAGCAAGATTTCAATTTAGGCATGTATAACGTGACAAGCTCTTATAATTTTGTATACACACAACATACATAGTTAGTTATATAGGGTACAATTATACTTGGTTAGCATACCAGAATCTCCAGGTGTTTATCGATATTTATCATACAACCAATTCCATGCATATGAACATTAATTTAAATCGAATAAACAACATGTATATTAATTGCGAAAATCATATTCTTCATTCAACAATGACAGAATTACAATGCATAAGGATAATAATGAGTGACTAACAAACTACACTAAACTAAACTAGACCAAAGCTACAAAGAAAATAGAAAAAGTGGTCAAGAAATCGTACTCAGCAATATCGTACACGAGAGCCTTATGCGCAGGCAGAGAGTGTTTGTGAGCTTTTGTGAGTACACAATTTCCGACCCTTTTCCATGAGTGCGACTCGTTAGTTTATAGAGATTTAAGGAATCATAATAATTGTATCTTTTGTGTCACGAATGTATATATAACTGTTTTTAAACTTTCATATCGTGAGTCATTCATGCACGTCTTCTAATAACTTTCAGAACCGTTTTGTTAGTACTCGAAAATGAATTCGGAGACACTCGAAATACAGGGGTGCTCGAAATCCCAGATGATCGAAAAAAGGCAGAGAAGTTTCTGAAGAAGGCACACGAAGCTTGAAGAAAATCAAGAGATACGCGAAGACATTTTTCGTGAAACTCTTGAAATCCTTGAACCAGGAAGGATGATGCCCAGGAAAAGGGGCTCACGGCCTCGCAACCTCTCAAAGTACAAGCAGAATCAGGAAACATTCAAGTATAGTTTTCGTTGGTTACTCGAAATACTTGATTGTGTCTTTGATGATGCTCCTCTAGGATTCGAGAAAGTGGAAAATGATGGGCTTAAAGTGGAATCTCAGGCTCCTCTCGAGGAAGTCAATCTGGGTACAATCGAAAAGAGGAGAATCACCTATGTTAGCAAACTAGCGGAGAAGAGTGTTAAAGAGCAAATTGTGCAGGTTCTGCACGAATATAAAGATTGCTTCGCTTGGGACTATGAAGAGATGCCTGGTTTGGATTGAAATTTGGTAGAACAATAGGTTGCCTATGATTTTGGGGAAGAAACCAGTGAAACAAAACCCACGAAGGTTTGCTCCGCAGGTGATCGAAAAAATCAAAGAAGAGATCGAGAGGCTACTGAAGGCCAAATTCATTCGTACTTCAAGGTACTCTGATTGGGTATCAAACATTGTGCATGTTATAAAAAAGAATGAAAAAATGAGGGTATGTATCGATTTTCGAGATTTGAATGCAGCCACGCCTAAGGATGCATACCCCATGCCTATTGCGGAAACAATGATTGATGCCGTCGCAGGTAATGAAATTTTAAGTTTATTAGATGGATATTCTGGGTACTGTGACACCCTTACTAGCCCAATACATATATTGTAATAATATAAATAAACTAAGGAAATAAAATTTTCTACATAGGTAAAAGGGTTCACATAAAAACCTTTAAAAACATTCTTCAATATCCAAAATAGTCTGAAAATGAAACTTGGAAAATAAAACATAAGAGGTTACAAAATGTTTTCAAAATAATATGTTCAACTCCATTTACAATGCAATTCATGTCCTAGAAATCCTCTGCCCCGATGTCACAATATCATAGCATACTCATAAATCAACTGTTGACATTCTAGATGCTACATATAGCCCGGATCTTCCTTACCTAAAACATCCACAAGTTGTACGGTGAGAAAAGAAAACATCTATATATATAGCACATATGAAAACGCAACATATTATCTCATTATAGCTTAATATTCATAAATATCTTAACATATCGTATTTCAATCAATCATGCATCGTCATCACGTCATAATTCTCAATCACACCAATCATCACAAATCTTGCACTTCACACTATGCCAAGGTCACGCTACCCATTTAACAATCCAAGGCTGTGCTCACCCCTGATATAACACTGTGCCAAGGTCACGATTCCCCTGTAGCATATCTAGCCCAGGGTCGTGCTCACCCCCGACATGTTATTCAAGGTCACGATACCCAC